CTAGTCCTGTTTCCCCTCAATGCTTATCCTTTCTGCTTCTATAGATCTTTTTAATCTGCTTGTATTTTTTGCCAAGCAGAGCCAGCTCCGTTTTTGAGTGATGTGTCTGTGCCTCAAAGCCTCAGCATTACCCATCCCTACCTCACTCAGAAGATGAAGATAAATTTGTTTGTTTAAGATAGCAAACAATCACTTGATGGTCACCTGCGCAGTCCCTAATGCTGACGTGTCCAACAGTTTAGCAGAATCCCTACCTTTTAGGAGCTTCACAATTTAGGAGAAATTCAAGGATATGTAAAAAGGGCACTTGGCTATGATTTCCACATTTGACCTCTACCATTCTTACCTATCTGGCTTCTTTGCCTTTCATGTGGTTCTTTTGGGAAGTCTTGAGGGGGGATGTTTGTAGTATGTGGCCTTGGTCTCAGTTTGTATTTGACTTTGCCTTGTGGCAGTTAATGGTTGAACTGTACCTTTAAAGTTTCCATGACAGCTGGTCAACTGAAGACCTGATTGTGACATAGTTATGAGACACCTCTTGTAGGTGAGAGGCCTAGGCCAGGTGGCAATAGACTGGCATATAAGCCTAGAGTAGCAGAAGTGCCAACATATAGGTCTAGTAAATTGGAGGTATAAGATCATGGCCCACCGCAATGGAACCGGAACATCTGATCAGGAAATGCAGTCAGGTTGGTTTGATAATAACATAGGCAGAAAGCAGAAGAAAAATGATTTCTTTAACTACTGTGTTTGCCTTACAGCATTCAGACCTTTTCCCCCTTGCTTTTGTAGAACTTGTTCCTTTTAATATGTGAATCAGTTTCTATTTGGGAATTCTGTCTATATCCCAACAGGTTTGGGGTTCCTGCCATATAGCTATTCTCTAGTTCAAAGATGGTTCCTTTTCATTAATAGCTGGGGATTTGTTGCTACTGTATATGTTGAATCATTTCATCTTACTATTCCTTTTGTAGAAACATGATACTTATTTTACCTAATTTCTTAGTGTTATTGGAATAATACATTTTAAGTTAAGTGTAATGTTTAAGCATGGTGAGATTTTTTGCCTGTTTGTTCAAAATATACTCATTCACCCTGATTGCCTCCCAAGAATAGTTACAAACACTTTGAAAAGTAAAATTGGGCCCGGCACAATAGCCTAGTGGCTAAAGTCCTCACCTTGAACATGCCTGAATCCCTTATGCATACTGGTTCTAATCCCAGTGGCCCCACCTCCCATCCAGCTCCCTGCCTGTGGCCTGGGAAATCAGTCCAGGATGGCCCAAAGCCTTGGGACCCTGCACCCGCGTGGGAGACTCCAAAGAGGCTCCGGGCTCCTGGCTTCAGATTGACTCAGCTCTGGCAGTGGCAGCTGCTTGAGGAATGAACCATCGAACAGAAGATATTCCCATCACTCCTCCTCTCTGTATCTCTGCCTTTCCAATAAATGAATAAATCTTTAAAAAAAAAAAAAAGGAAAATGAAGAGTAGAATGCAGATAAGATCTACTTGTTTACTGTTACACTCTATATTTTTCTGCTATTCAGGCAAGTTGGTTTTCAGCTCTGTTCTGTGTAAAATCACCATCTTTTTAAAAATTCATTCTGACTTTACCCATCAGGAATTATAATTTTTGTAACCTTTTCTAATACACTGGGGATCTTTTTTTTTTAAGATTTATTTTTAGTATTATTTTTTTTTTTAATTGGAAAGGCAGATATACAGAGGAGAGACAGAGAGGAAGATCTTCCGTCCACTGATTCACTCCCCAAGTGAGCGCAACAGCTGATGCTGCACCAATCCGAAGCCAGGAGCCTCTTCCGGGTCTCCCAAGCGGGTGCAGGGTCCCAAAGCCTTGGGCCATCCTAGACTGCTTTCCCAGGCCACAGGCAGGGAGCTGGAAGGGAAGCGGGGCTGCCGGGATTAGAACCGGCACCCATATGGGATCCCGGGCGTGCAAGGCGAGGACCTTAACCACTTATGCCACCGCGCCGGGCCCCTACACTGGGGATCTTAACTGTGACTTTCAGGAGCAGTTTCAGCATGAATTCAACTGCTTTCTAATTATGTGACATTGCTTTCTTTTTAATTGTATCAACTATAAAATAAAACTGATTTTTCTACCAAACAGCTATGAAGGGCACAGTGCAATGACTCAGTGGCTAATTGCTCGCCTTGCACACACTGGGATCCCATATGGGTGCCCGTTCATGTCCCAACTGTTCCACTTCCCATCCTGTGGCCTGGGAAAGCAATGCAAAGTACGGCCCAAAGCCTTGAGACCCTGCACCTGAGTGGGAGACCCTGCACCTGAGTGGGAGACCCTGAGGAGGCTTCTGGCTTCGATCTGCTCAGCTCCAGCCATTGCAGCCACTTGGGGATGACACAGCAGACAGAAGATCTTTTCTGTTTCTTTGTCTCTGTAAACCTACCTTTCCAATTAAAAAGATCTTTAAAAAAGCAAAAACCAAAAAAGCTACCGTCTAAATATCTATCTCTCCATATATATACATATGTATTTTTTCCCTAAGCACTTAGGGTCTTGGTAAGGTCCCAATCTATTGATATGATTTTGCAATACTGTATAAATATTGTTTTATTTAGCTTAATGATGCAACATGCACTTTTACATTATATGAAATTTAATCTCCTTGCAGCTATTCATCTAAAGAATGAAGTCCTCAGCAAATTCATAAAGAGTAGAGTTAAATCTATGGAGTTTATTTTCTTAAATATCTCCTATTTGAGTATCTGTCCGAGTTACTGTTTCCATTTCAGATACTATTGGGAGCTATGTATTATAAAGCTGTGCTCACAATGCCCAAAGAACAGGTCACTTAAAATTGTCACCACTAATTAATGCGACATATGGAGTACTGAGATCTCATCTCTAAGTTAATAATATAGTAAATCACACACATTCAGCAGAAAAGGTAAATGAACCTGTTGAAATGGAAATTATTTGTGAAAATAACCATAACAGTAGTGCAGCACTTTGCAGCTTGCAAAATGTTTCACATGCTTGTCTCAATTGGCTCAATCATCAACCCTGCTCAGATAATCAGTGGTGAATTGAAAATAATGGGATTGTCTTGAAGCAGTTCGTGACAAGTTATGACATGTAAAATCATTATCATTTATTCTTTGTCCATGCTGGGACTAAAATAGGAAAAGCGTGATTATATTAGGTGGAATTAGATGAACTAAATCCTAGGCAAGAGGATGGTTTGAAGTCTCCAATCCTGATGGAAGACAGGTTAATAATAGATAGCATTTATTGGACACTTATCATGTGGCTGGTACTGTCCTAATCAATTGAAGTATGTGATTGCATTTAATGCTAACAAAAATTTTGTGAGGTCAGCCTCATTGCATTGCCCATTTTCCAAAGTAGGAAGCCAAAGCCCAGAGGGATTACTCAAATGATCGCTACTAAGTACCACAGGCAAGAATCCTGTCTGTGTTTGAGGAAAAGGACGAATGAGTTGCTCCCTGCACACTATTTTCTGTATTCATAAGCATGGAAGAAATGCTTATTGAATCATTTTATGACTAATTTTAAATAACTTGTCATTCATGAGTGTGTTTTTAAGATTTATTTCCTTTTATTGGAAGGCAGATGTACATAGAGAAAGAGAGACAAAAAAGTTCCACCTGCTGGTTCACTCCCCAAGTGGCTGCAATGGCCAGTGCTGCGCTGATCCGATGCCAGGAGCCAGGAGCCAGGAGCCAGGAACCTCTTCCAGGTCTCCCACATGGGTGCAGAGTCCCAAAGCACTGGGCTGTCCTCAACTGCTTTCCCAGGCCACAGGCAGGGAGCTGGATGGGAAGTGGAGCTGCTAGAATACTGCAAAGGGAGGATTTAGTTAATAGGCTATCGTGTGGGACCCGTTTCTTTGTTTTTACAAAGATATAATGCATCTGCTGTTAAAGGCTGGAAAAATACATGTTAGAAGGTTAAAAGCTTGGTAGTCTCAGTCTTAGGGGCTGAAAACAGATTTCAGAACAGAAAATGCAGCACTCCTATACCCTTCGCTCCTCCTAACCCTTCCTAAATAAAGGTAGAAGAAATTGTTCCAGGGTTAGTGTAATAACAGATGGAAACAAAACAAAACAAAACAAACAGGGCCCGGCACTATGGTGCAGTGGTTAAGGTCCTCGCCTTGCACGCCCGGGATCTCATATGGGCACCGGTTAATCCAGGCAGCCCCATTTCCCATCCAGCTCCCTGCCTGTGGCCCGGGAAAGCAGTCGAGGACGGCCCAAAGCTTTGGGAACCTGCACCCGCGTGGGAGACCCGGAAGAGGCTCCTGGCTCCTGGCTTCGGATCGGCATAGTATCGGCCGTTGCACTCACTTGGGGAGTGAATCAGTGGACAGAAGATCTTCCTCTCTGTCTCTCCTCTCTGTATATCCACCTTTCCAATAAAAATAATAAAAATAAATCTTTAAAAAAAAAACCAAAACAAATAAACAAACCCGAAGATCCTGAACTAAAAGGAGAGGATGCAGGACTTCGGCGAAGGGAGGGGGTGGGAGGATGGGTCCCTCAATGAGGAAAGGCGGCTGCATAACTGCGCATGCGCCCTGGCAGGGGCGGGCAAACCCGTGCGCAGTGGCGCGAATTTCTTGTGTAGTAGGCCTGCGCTGAGCCCTGCGCGTGCGAAGAGGTAGGAATCTCGTGAGTCTCAGAGGCGGAAAATTTTGATTCTTATTTTGCCTGGTAAGGCTAAGATGAATTTGCTTTGGCTGTAAGAGGTAAAGATTTTTTTGGTGGTGATTGGGATAAAGTTTTCATGTTTATTAATTAAAGGTTTAGAGGTTGGAAAATGACGGTTAGCGCCCAGCCGTCATGACTGGGTAGGTGTTTCGAAGCCAGTTCTTCACAACTTCATAACTTTTATAGTTAGGGATGTTGGGGTGCCGGGGATGTGGAGAGGCCGCTCTCACTTATCTCAGAGCTTTCTTTTCCTCCCTTGTCTCTCTTAAGTCTACCCGACCATGTATGAAGGAGAACCGGAAAAACTTGGGAACTTCGAACTAAGTAGTGACTTCATCTTGGAGACAGGAACGTCACAGGAAAAAATGGAAATAGACTCCGAGCTGCCAAATCCCACCAACACAAATAACTCCATTCTGAAACGATCCACCAGTGCCCCAATGATGAATGGCATTGGGTGAGTGCGGTTGAGAAAACGGAGGAGGCAAGTGGGTCGGGTGGGTCCTGAGAAAGTGGTTTCCCGTGGTGTTCTTAGCCTTTTATGACTGGAAAATTCTGCAGGTATCTCCCTTGCCCGTAATAGTCTCCCTTTAGCCTGGGACAAGTGAGATGGGTAGATTTGAAGAAAAAAAAAAGTACCCTTGACAAATCCTCACCCTTGGGCGCTCGTCCCTCTCTTCCTCCTCCCATTTGCCGCTAAGGTTGACTCGAACATGCTCTACTGAGGGGCCACCTGAACCCACAAGTAGCAACCACTTGGTGTGGAGCACGAATTTTCTTCCTAACTATATCCCATCTCTTCCTCCTTTGAAAAAAAAAACGGAGCGTTCTGCCATGACTTTTCTGCCAGTCACTGCCAGCACATCCAAGATGGAAATAATTGTCAAATAAATCAGCTGGGCCTTTGTAGAGCTAGTTTTTCTTGAAATTGGATTTCTTTATAAAAACATTTGTGAATTTCTTTGAGATGCAGAACCACAGAGACGAAGGGAGAGACAGAAAGGAGGAAGAAGGAATTGATCCCTTAGTCATAGCATAATGACTGTTGTTGTCTCTTAAACTGTATCTGTCTTTAGTTTTACCTAAAAATAGTCTCTCCTGCTCATTTCTAGTTTCTCTTTGCATAGAACATGTTTTTCCATCCTTTCGCTCTCAGTATGTGTGTATACTGGTGTAATGCATTTTTTTGTAAGCAGCACATAGACAGGTGTGTTTTTCATTCTTCAACCAGTTTGTATCATTTAAATGGGAAATATACTCCATTCACATTCAAGCTTATTATTCATAAGTAATGATTTGGTCCTGTTGTTTTCCCATTAATATTCCTATTGCTTATTTTGAAGCAGCTTTGTTCTGCTACTTGATTTTCTGCATTCACGTTCATTAAGGTGACCGTCTCTATTTCCGTGTATAGTATGTTTCCAAGTATTATTTCGAAGCTTAGCCTGGCGGTGATATATTCTTTCAGTCTTTGCTTGTAGTGGAAGCTCTTTGTTTCACTTTCATTTATGAAATTAGAATTTTGCTGAGTTATGTTCTGAGTGGTAGGATTTTGCGTTCAGAACTAGGACTTTCCAGTTTCTCCTGGCATTAGGGTTTCTGTTATGAGATTTGCTGTTAATCTCATGGGAGACCCTTTAAACGTGATTGGGCATTTCTCTCTTGCGTGTTTTTCGACATTGTTTTACTTTTGAACGCTTGACTAGAGTGTATTGTGGTAAGGATTTTTTCTCATCATGCTGATTTGGAGTTTTATGTGCTTCCTGTATTTCAATTTGCATTTCTTTTTTCCAAATGGGAAAATTTTTTTGTTATTTCACTGAATACATTTTCTCAGCCATTGTTTCCCCCACACCTTCAACCTTCAGGAACTCCTAAGATGTATGTATTTGGTTGTTTGATGATATGCATAGATTCCAAATACTGTTTTTGGACTTCCTAATTTTTTCTTTAATTCATTCTCTCTCTCTCTCTCTCCCCCTCTCTCTGCTTCCCTCCCTTTCCCTCTTCTTTGCTCCCTCCTTTCCTTCCTTGTCTGACAGACATTTCAGAAGACTTCTACATTAAATATTGTCTCTTCTGCCTCATAAAATCTGTTGTTAAAGCTTTCTACTATATTTTTTGTCTTACTAAATACTTCATTTATAATATTTCTTGCTGATTTTCTTCAGTAGCTCTAACCCATTGCAGAATTTCTCATCTGTATCATGGGTGAATTTCCTTATTTCATGTAACTGTTTCTGAGTGTTCTTAAGTAACATTACAATCAATTCTTTGGGATTTCTTTTCTGCATCTTTCCAGCCTCCCTTTATTCATAGTTCAGTATTAATGTATTATTGTGTTTGTTTTTGAGAATCGTATTGTTTTCCTTTTCAGTGTTTCTCGTGCTTCCATGTTGGCCTGTGTAAATCTGGGGGTGTCACTTGTTATCATCTTTTCCAGGAGATATTTTAAATTGAAAACTTTATTCTTGTAGTATTTCCTCTCTAGTTCTGGGCTTGTGCTGGATAGGGTCAGGAAGCTCTGGCCAGTTTGTAGGTGAAATAACCATTCCGGAGTGAAAGCCAAATTGGGTTTGGTGCAGCACCCCTTGCTACAGTTGTCGGAAGGAGGGGAGGTTGGAGCTGGCTGATATGTTCACAATCACAGCCCTTCCCTGTGTGTAGGTGAACCAGCTGATTCTCGGCCTAGAGTGAATTCCTGGTGCCTGTGCACACGACCCACCCAGGCACATGCTCCAAACGGAACAGCAGTTCATTTCATGGTGTGTTCCTCAGTCTTCTGGGAGATCTGTCCCCAGTATGCAAGGACTTCTGTTTCTGCACTCAGACCATGTAGTTGCATAGGAACCCAGTGACAAACTATTTTCCTCTGAGCCCTGTGGCCTCTGCCTATCACTCTCACAGTCACAAGGTACAAGATCTCTGCTTTCCATCCTGCAGGCTACTATTCTCAGCATGAGCTGCCTGCCATTCCCTGAGGGGGCAGAGATGAACAGCAGCCCTTAGCAAATGAACTTGCTCTTTCAGTTTGGGGAGGGGAGAAAAATAAGGCGATCTTCCTTCATGGTGGCAAGTGGGTTCGAAACCGCCTGCCTGTTCCACAGGCTGCACTCAGAGCCACTGAGGAAATCTCCCTCAGTCAGTGCTGCTGCTGGTGTTCATTGTGGTAGCCTCCTCTCACCCTGCCTGGGAAGATGGCACCTCCCAGCTAGGCACCAGCTCTGAGTATATGGAAATTGCTAGAGACACACAGTCCTTGAATGTGTCTGTTCTCACTCCTCACCTAGAGAGTCTTGCTTCTGCTCTGTAATTCTCCATAGAAAATTTCTTTTAATCTCCTGTGAATGTGGCGTTTCCTTGGTTTCCTAGGCCTTCTTTTGTTTTCCTGGCCAGTGCAACTTCTCCCTATTCAATCATCTTACATCTCTCCCTGTTTCGTAAAAGGCTTTGAAAACGTGTTCTTGAATCTCGTATCCTAGTACAGTAGTTTTCTAGATATTATGAAAATGTCTGAAAAATACATTTAGTACATGTTATTCTCTTTAATCCTCACTTTTGGACCATCCTATTAATTGATAGCTGCATTTGCAAGGTCAGAGGTCATTCAAGATGGGATGAGACCAAACCTGTCCTCTCTAACATGTGAGGAACCTTGGCCTGTCCATCTCTAAAATGAAGTAGTTAGCAGTGGTGCCCATACTAAGGGCTTGGATCTCTGGACTCAGCATGTTCTGTTCACACTAATGAATGCATAAATTGATTAACACTAAACAAATGCAGTTGTCAGGTCATTTGAGGTAGGAGATAATTGTTATAAAATGAATAGCAAACTAAGATTTATCAAAACAAATTCATTGCCTTTTAAAAATAGGAAGACGGGATAATTAAAGATGGAGTGCTCTCTGTGTATTGTACTGAGAACAAGAACATTTTGTAAATTTAGGGTTTCGCTCTAATTCCATTGTGGGAATAAAATTGTTTTTAGAACTATTTGGCTAGTAGAAGAGAGAAGTGGGAAGAATGTTGGTTGTGTTGGCAGCCTTCACGAAAAGAAATAGCTTACAAATAGAGGATGGAGGCCATATACTTGTACTTGAAGCAACATATGGAATCTGTTTAATTTATTAAACATACTGGGAGGAGTATACCTTGTCATATCCCTTCTTGCTTGCTTTGTGGTAAAGGGGAGTTGAAGGGATTTTAAAAAATTATGCTGGAGTGTAATTATAGTATTAAATTGCATGGCATAATATCCCAACTCACGCAGTAAAATTTGCACAAAAAGGCAGTGGTTAATAACATGAATCTGGTGGGGGTTAAAGAAACACAAATTGGACCGTGGACTAAATCTGTTCCTGGCCCATTAAAGGAAGTGACGGGAATGATGTGTGATATACCTGAGGTTCGAGCACTTACTCAGATGATCTGCAGGCACATTTGGCGCTGCTGTAACAAGCTTAGAATGGAATCAGAAAAGTTCATCTTTTCCGAAGTTTCCAGATTCGAGAGGCACGAAAAATAGAATCTCCATCTTTTCATTCACACCTCATAACTGAGATAGAGATAGTGGGCAAGGCTGGGTGGCAGAAAAAGTCCAGGTTTCCCACATGAGCGGAGGGAGCCTCGCTGAACCATCACCACTGCTTCCCAGGGTCTGCAGTAGCTGCAAAACGCAATTAGGAGCAGATCTGGAAGTAGAACCCAGGTACTCTGATGTGAGATGCATGTGTCCTGACCCCTACGGCAAATGCCTACCTCCAGACACGTTGTTCTGAACCAGAATTACACCGAGTTTTAGCTAAATTCATGCTTGTGTCAGTTTCTTTCAGTTGCCTGTGTATATTGCCAATTTTTCTAACTTTTCCTTACTTGGGTTTCTAATTTCTATTGGCCTGTGTCTGGTTAAACTACACCTGACAGTAAAAGATTCTATTTTCAGGATGTTAAATATTTTTAGAGCTTTTTCAAGCCATTTTCTAATTTTGCTTGATGATGGGACCAGCATTGTGAAACAGTGGGTTAAACTGCCATCTGCAAAGCTGGCAAGCCCTGTGAGTGTCCAGGATGCTACACTTCTGATCTTGCTTCCTACTAAGTTGCGTGGAAACGCAGTGGAAAATGGCCCAAGTCCTTGGGCTCTTGCACCCATGTGGAAGATCAGGATGGAGTTCCAGGCTCCTGGCTTCATCCTGGCTCACCTTTCATACCTCTCTCTCTCTTCAGCTCTCTCTCTTCAACTATCTTTCAAGTAAATAGTATTTTTTAAAAAATATAAAACAGCTTTAGGTAGGCCCAAATTCAAAATCATCATAATAATAATTTAGCTTGATGTTTCCTACATATGGAAGTCGTATATGTCTCTTGCAGTAACATGTCTTCCTTAAATGTTTAGTGTAATTAGATTCCTTAAATGTCTACTCTATAGTACCAGATTATTGTTTTTGAGAACTTGTTTGACTATTTTGTATGTATCTTTACAATTATCAATGCCAGAAGTTTGGAGGAATGGGCGTTTGATGTAGCATTTAAGATGTTCGGCTCAGAATGCACACATTCCATGTGAGAGTCACTGGGTCTGGATCCTGACTCTACCCCTAATTCCAGGTTCCTGGTAAAACATGCTTTGGGAGGCAGCAGGTGATAGTTCAGATATTTGAGTTCTTGCATCCCCGTGGGAAGCCTGTGTTGAGTTTCCAGTTCCTGGTTTTAGTCTGGCCCAGACTTGGCTGTTGTGGGCATTTGCAGAGTGAACCAGCAAATGGAATAGCATTCTCTCTTTTTTTCTGTCTCTCTGTATTTTAAATAGATAGATAAATAAATTTTGAAACTTTACAGTTTTTACCCCTTAGTTGGCAGACTTTCTAGAGGAAAAAAAAAGCAAAATTTATATATTTGAAAGGCTGAGTGACAGAGAGGGAGACACACACACACACATAAAGGGAGAGAGAGAGAAAGCTTGCATCCACTGATTCATTCCCCCCAAAGAGCCGTAATGGAGTGCTGAGCTCACAAACAGGAACTTACACAATTACACCACTTTGTTACTGATGTAACTATACTGAAATGTAATCATCTTTTTGTAAAATGTAGTGCTAGGATTTTTGCCAGTGCCTCCTCACTTTAACAACCTCCAACCTGACCCTGCTTTTAAATTATTGCTGTCTCAATTGTAAGACAGACTACTATCAAAGGACCACTTGGTTTTGTAATAAACGTCCTGTGAAATACAGCTATGCTTATTTGTTTACTTATTATCCATGGCGACTTCCCTAAGAACAGACTTGCAGGGTCTGTCACTGTGGCCAAGTGAGTAAACCCCCCACTTGTGACGCCAGCATTGCGTATTGGCACTGGTTTGTGTCCCAGCTGCTGTACCTCTGTTGCAGCTCTTTGCTAATGTCCTGGGCAAAGCAGTAGAGAGGATGGCCTAAGTATTTAGGCCTCTGCTATCCACATGGGAAAGTGGAAAGACTTTTGACTTCTGGCTTCAACCTGGCCCAACCTTGGACATTACAGCCATCTGGGGGGATTAACCAGCTGATGGAAGACCTCTCTGTGTGTCCCTCCCTCTCTCTGTAGAAATCTTTCAAATCAATCAATAAATGAATATTTTATTTTAAAAAATGACAGACAAATAATAGCAATAGAGATATTATGGCCCATAATGCCTAAAATACTATCCGGCCCTTTGAAGATAAAGCTTGCCTCCCCCATTCCCAGGCTTGCTTATTGAACTCTTACCAAATGTGAAAGCAGAGTAGGCATGAAAATAAACTTGATTGTTTGGAGAATGTAACTGACAAATTTATTGTAGCTTAGATTGAGCTATTTAACTATTCAGTGCACTGCATTGAACAATGACCCAGTTATATTATCTTCAGGTTTTCTAAGTTATGGATTTCAATAGGATTCTGTAATTTCAAGGTAAATGATGCGTATCAATTGAGGTACATTCTGACTTGATTATTTCTTTGTGTAATTGTCTTATTAAATGAAGCCAGTGGAAGATATTATAAATACCTAACCCATTAGGCTCTTCAAATTTCCTGATAAATGACTTCCACAACAGATTGCTCTTCTTATATGGAAAATGAGTGGGAAAGGAAATCAGAATTAGCCTATTGACACATTTTCTCACAATATATTGAGTTATTGCCTGTCACATGCAAATTATCATGTTTCAAAGACATATCAAGGCTCAATACAGTTTTTTAAGTTAATAGGGAAGATAAATACTCAATGAATATGAATGTTTGGCAAAGTAAAAGAAATGTTTAGAGAAAGTAGAAAATATTAGTGGTATGCAAAGAAGGGAGAGAGAAATTTCAGTGAGATTGGTAAGGGATGAGGAAAATGCTCATGGAGAAGATGGAATTTGAGATACACTTTAAGGAACTGATAAGATGTACACTGGGAGAAAGGGCACCTAAAGGCTGGGACAACATTTCAGTTATGTTTTTAGAAGAGTTGATGACAAAAAAGCACAGGTATTCCCTAGAGGGCTTAGTGGTCAGCATGGCCTGAACCTGTGGCCTCCAATGTTGCTGATCAGTCCGTGCAAATGCAGCTTATGAAAATATATTGTCATGTAGTGATTCCTTATGTTTTCCTGACCAGGACTGTATTGTACTGTGAGAGTGTGACAAAATGATTGCCTTTTTATAAATGAAACAGTGTTTGTAGATGACCAGCTGTTTTCAAAGATTTCATTTATTTATATGAAAGGCAGGGTTACAGAGAAACAGCAGGAAAAGGAGAGAGCAAGAGAGGGAAAAGGAGAGAGAGAGAGATCTTCTGGCTGACACTGCAGGTGGCCACAACAAACAAGGCCGAGTCAGGTAGAAGCCAGGAGCTGGGAGCCTCATCCAGATCTCCCACATAAGTGCGGAAGCCCAATCACTTAGTCCATCTTCTTCTGCTTTCCCAGGCGCATTATCAGAGTGCTTGACTTGAAGTGGAACAGCTGGGTCTCAGGTTGGAACCCTCATGGAATGCTGGCATGGCAGGCAATGGTTTTATCCACTATACCACAATGCAGGGTCCAAGGGCCAGAATTTTAAAATAGTTCAGTAAAAGCAAGAAATAGAAACTGTTTGAGGAGACTTCAAAAAGTTTGTGAAAAATGGAATTAAGCCTTATTTTGGTGCAAGCATTTTTAAATATGTGCATAGTTTTTTCATAATACACATGAGCTTTTTGAAGACAGTTATATGTTGGTAATTACATACTGTTTTGAAACTTTACAAAAGAATGGAGCCAAATCGTGGAGAGCTGGCTATATGCTAGTAAAGTGCATGACTGGATCCAGAAGACAATGAACAGCTAATAATTGAACATTTGTGAGCACGCTGGGTCTTTGGAGTGCTAGGTAGTGCTAGATTAGGGAAAAAAACAGCTGAGGAGACCTACTAAATATTGTGAAGTCGATGAAACAGCATAAAGGCAAGGGACCTGAAGATAAGGTGGATCTAGGAGAGAGGGTAAAGAATTGAAATCGGTAAGATTGGGTATAGGCAGCAGATTGAAAATGTTCAACATAATTTCTTATTAACATTGGAAAAATGTGGATAAACGATGTGTATGGGGACCTTGTTGTTTCTTTTACAACTTCTTGTGAATCTTAAGCTATTTCAAAGTAAAAGAGAAAATGAAAAAAGACAAGTTATTCAAAGTTACAAGTTCAGACAGGACTGAGATAATTTTGGTCACTGACTGTCACAGTGGAGGACATAGGCGCTGTCTTCAGTGCATAGCAGCTGCTCAGGTCCAGTCTGTTGTTGCCACATGGGAATGGGGCCCGACTGCATATTTTCAAGAAAAGCCAGAAATCTGGAATCTGAATTTTTCATTTGAGATTTCATTGAGATTTCTCAGTATGTACAATGAATTAAATATGTACATGTATATAGATATAGATATTAGGGGTATGTGTTTAATACAAAGGTTACATTGCCACTTGGGGTACGTGTATCCTTTATTACAGTGCCTGAGTTCAGTTTGTGGCTCTGTCCAGGCTCTAGTTCCCCGCTAATGTACACAGCTCCCTACTTATTTCTACCCACATTGGAGACCTAGCTTGAGTTCCTGGCTCCTAGCTTTGACCTAACACAGACACAGTGTTTGAGAATCTAAAAGGAATCAAACAACAGTCGGGAGACCTCTTGTCTGTTTTTGCTGTTCAATTCAACTCAGTTAAGTTAAAAAGTACTGAAATATTCTTACTATCTTGTTGGCCAAGTAAAACGTATCTGTGGAAAGTATGTTTTATCAACTCTGGATATTGCTATTCCTTTTCTTCATAGGATGTGGGCAATTAAAGGATTTGGTACTTGCGTATTGTAGCTCTGATCATAGATTTAAATCAGATCGAATTTGACACTGATGATGTATTTACAAAGTCACAGGAAATTATACTTCTTGGTAGCATGGTTGATTAGAAGTAAAGTGATGTGCTTGGAAATTCCTTATCCTACATGGAGACTTAATTAGGCTCAGGTAACTAAAACTCTGTGTGTATGTGTGTTTCTAATTTCTCCATTTGTACAACTGTCTTCACCAAGACATCATTTATGTTGATAACATTGCTATTTTCAATATGGAAATTTTATTCCTTGAAAAATATTTTATAATAGGCTTTATGTGACAAACATTTTCCTTTTTCTTCTTAGTGATAGTTCACAAGCTTTCCAAGCTGATACTGTGAGGATTAGAAGAAACAGTTCAACATTCATAAATCGGCCAAATCTGGTAAGGAAATGCTTATGGCATGCTGCTTGCCTGAGATGTGTGCTTGTTGGTTTTAACCGGGGATTCCCAAACTTGCACCTGCGAGAAGGGTTTACTAAACTACAGACAGCCCAATTTCACCCCTAGAGTTTTTGATTCAGTAAGTCTGTAGTGGAGTTTGAGAATTTGCATTTCTAACAAAGTCTCACTGTGAGAAACTGTGCTGTAAACATTACTGAAGGCAAAAATCAAGCACATCATCTATAGTTCGGATGACTTCTGCAGCTGTAGCAGAATTAGTTTTTAAGTCTTATGTGGATTTAACACTGAGATTTGTTTTCATGTATAAAACCAGCTGGCATCCACTTTTGGAAAATTTGTAGGATCTTCTAAGAATTGTTTTCAGGCTTTTAGTTTGACTTTTATCTCACATTTATCTTGACCTGTAAATAAAATTTGCTTTTCATGGTATTATAATAAAATCTCTAATAACGATTGTGTGATTTACTCTGTAAACACAGAAAATATACTTGTAAATCAGTAAGCCAAAATGAATAAATGATTTATTATATGATTTTGTTATTGAATTGAGTTTCATATAACAACTGTTTTAAGTGCACCATTCACTGACATTTAATGCATTAACAAATTTGCTCAACCATTACCTCTAGTTTCAAAACATGCGTATCCTTGTCTTGTTACTGATCTTAAGGGGAAAGTTTTCAGTCTTTTCCAATGAATTTGATCTTATATCTGGAATTTTGGTAAATGTTCTGTATCATTTTAAGGAGATGCCCTTCTCTTGCTGAGAATTTATTTATTTATTTTTTCACTAAGGGCCAATGTTGTGGTACAGTAGGTTAAGCAAACACTTGTGATGCTGGCGTCACATGTTGAACCACCAACTCAAGTTGCAACTAGTTCTGATTCAGCTGCCTGTTGCTGTCCCTGAGAAGGAAGTAAAAGACAGCTGATGTACTTGGGTCCTTGCCACCCATGTGGGAGACCAGAATGAAGTTCTAGGTTCCTGCCTTCAAACTGGCCCAGCCCCAGCTGTTGCTGCCATTTGGGGAGTAAATCAATAGATGAAACATCTCTCTCTTTGTCTCTTCCTCTGTCTCTCTTTTTGGCTATGCCTTTCAAATACATAAATAACTCTAAAAATCTTAAAGAAAACATTTTATTAACAATACTCGTATACATTTATGGGCTTCAGTGTGACACTTCAAAACATATATACAATCTGTAGTGATCAAATAGAATAATAAACATTTTTCCCCTTCTTTACCATTACTTTATAATTGGAAGCTTGGAGCATCTCTCTTCTCTATTTGTTCATACAATAAATAATAGGTCACTGTAAACTGTAGTCTTCCCTCTATGCTGTGTATCACTAGGAACTTACTCCTTCTGCCTCACTCTGATTTGGTCCCCATTATTCAGATTCCCTACCTCTCCCAGCTTCTAGTTACCACTATCTTTCATTGAGATTTTTTTCCAGCTTCCAAATGAAAGGGATAATATTGTATTTTTTCCTTTCCATATGGCTGCTTTGAGCATCAAATACTTTATTTCAAGTGCTTCTTCCAGACCTCTAGAGATGATTCTATGACTTACCCCTTTTGTTCTGTTCATAGGGTGTATTACATTGGTTTTCTTATGTTAAAGCACCATTGCATTCCTAGGGTAAATTTTTTTCATCTTTGTTCTTCACATGTGTTTTTCTTTTCTTGTATTAGCTTTGTTGACTTTCATATTCAGTCATGCCACCCTCCTAGTATATTAGAAGGACCAGCATTACAACTGTGTGAATAAAGCTACCATCTACAGTACTGGTGTCCCATATGGGCACTAGTTAGAGTGAGTCTTGGTTGCTCCACATGCAGTCCAGCTTCCTGCTAATGCACCTGGGAAAGAAGCAAAAGATGGCCTAAGAGCTTGGGACCCTGCATGCCCACAATGGGAGATATAGATGAAGCTTCTGGCTCCTGGGTTTGTTTTGGCCTAGCCCTGGCTGTTGTGGCCATTTGAGGAGTGAACCAGTGGATCTTTCTGGCTAGGACTCTCTCTTAGTGACTATCTTTTGACTAAATAATCTTTAAAATATTTGAATTTTTTTCTATTTTGCTTATGAGAGAGCTGGAATAGGATTGGTGTTAAAATTTCAAGTTTTTGGTGGAGTTCACTAGTGAAGACATCCGGTATTATATTTTTCTTGTTGGAAGATTTTTTCATTATCTCTTGTATGGATCTGTTGAAATGTTCTATTATTGAGTCAGGTTTTTTTTTTTATTTTTAAGATTCACTTATTTTCGTTGCAAAGACAGATTCACAGAAAGGAGAGACCAGGGGAAATACCTTCTATCTGCTGTTTACTCCCTAAATGGATGCAAAGGCTAGAGCTGAACCAATCCAAAGTTAATAGCCAGGAGCCTCTTCCAGGTCTCCCATGCAGGTGCAGGGTCCCAAGGCTCTAAGCTGTCCTCCCATGTTTTCCCAGGATACACGCAGGGAGCTGGATGGGAAGCGGAGCCGCTGAAACACAAACCTACGCCCATATGGGTAGATTTATTTTCAGATCTCTGAGTACTCTCCATAGTGTCTTCCATTATGATTGTACTAGTTTACATTATTTTGTAATGGTGGCTATCTTTCTGTATTTCTGTGTGTAATACATTCTTACATGTCTTTTGTAAGGCTGTGAAAGTGCTGACTAATTCTTTATATTTCTGTTTGGGAAGATCTTTATTTCATCTTCATTCATAAATGAGAGCTTTTCAGGGTGTAATAGGTTCAATGGAAGGTGAGACACAACAGAGGCAAGTATCTGGCTTGTGTAAGTGATGGGATGTAGTACCACAGGAAAAGAATCCCACGCACAGATGTGTTATCTTCAGACATACTGTATTTGAAGCTCTTAGGTGCTTCATAGTGGAGATTCTGAATATGCTAGTTTGAATTTCAGGGTAGAGATCTTGGCAAAAGTCTACATTTGGGGATTATCAGTAGACTGTCATTTAAAGCTAAATAAATTAATGAAATGACCATGGAGAGGATAAAGAGAAGGGGCTGCAAGACAAAAATGTAAATATCATCAGTCAGAACAAGAGTGCAAAGACTTAGATGAAATTGTCAGAGAGGTGAAGGGAGATTCAGAGGAGTTTTTTTGTGCAAAACAAAGGGCAATTATAAGTGGTCAGATGTTCTTTGAAGTACTGAAAATGAGATCATTCATAAAGTTCTTATATTTGAAAGCAATTTTTGTGGCGAGAGATGGGATGACATTAATCCAAATTGCACTGGGTTGAGCAATGACTGATAGCTGAGAGCCTAATAAATGGCGCTATACACGCAATCTCAGTGATTTGGGGGAAATCTTGCCCGGCTGAGAACCTATTGAATGATGCTATGCATACAGCCTCAGCTACGTGGGAGCAGTCTGTTCCTTCTCCAATTCCTCATCTAGAAGAGAAGAATGTAATAGTATCTGCATTTGGGTTTCCGATGATGATTAATCTTTGTCAAACACTCAGCCTAGAACTGGTACGTGCTAAATGATTACTAAATAGGAGAGAATTTTAGTGACAGTACATGCATACAGTAGAATTTTTAAATATGTATAATATTCCTTAGGAATTCTAGGATTTTAATTCACATAAAGTTTAGCTTAATATAATACACATTTATAATAAGCCATCTTAAATAACAGTTGGCATTTGACTGAACTGAAATTATATTATCTTCATTGTTAGAATTTCAATGCTCACTTAATTAGCTTGATATATATGTATATATCAAATTAATCACTATTATAAGACTCATAAGAATATGAAGGGTCTTTTTTTCACAAACTTCTTTTTTTTTTTTAAAAGATTTATTTATTTTTATTGAAAAGTCAGATTTTACAGAGAGAAAGCTACAGAGAAAGATCTTCTGTCCACTGATTCATTCCCTAAGTGGCGTCAGTGGCCGGAGCTGAACTGATCTGAACCCAGGAGCTTCTTCTAGGTCTCCCACACGGGTGCAGGGTCCCAAGGCTTTGAGTAGTCCTTCACTGCTTTCCCAAGCCACAAGCAGGGAGCTGGATGGGAAGCAGAGCTACTGGGACATGAACTGGCACACATTTGAGATCCCAGCGCATGCAAGGCAATGACTTTAGCCATTCGGCAACTGTGCTTATCCCTATGAGGGCAGCTTGGGAGAAAAAAAAAAAAAGGTTTCTAGCAGCCGGTTGTGTATATACTAAAACTGAGATGTCAAGGAAGTAGTTACAGGATGTGGTTAAGAACTTGCAATTTCTAGGTGGAGGAATCCACTATGGGAGGAGGGGGGTGGGAGGGGTGGGGGGACCCCCCCAGTGCTTACAAAACTGTATCACATAATGCAATGTTAATAACAAATAAAAAAAAACAAATGGTAAAAAAAAAAAGAACGTGCAATTTCTAACATATTGGTCACTCAATACCATGTTAATTAACTTCAAAAAAAAAAGTGTGTGGAAAATAAATGTTATAAAGAAAGCTATTCTAGATTAAAAAATTTTTACACCATAATAAACTTACTTTTAATTCCCCTTTTCCATGAAATAACAACATTTTAAAAACTTATTTGAGAAGTTGGGGGACGTGCTGGGCAAGACAGAGATACACATGTTCTGATTCATTAGCCAGATGTCCACAAGGCCAGGATCAGGCTGGACCAAAGCTGGGACCCACATGGGCAGCAAGAACCCAGCTGCTTCTACCATTCCCACTGCCTTCCAGATTTGTTGTAGCAGGAAGCTGGACTTAGACATTGGAAATCAAAGGCAGGTGCTGGTATGTGGGGCAAGGTGGGCTCTTAGGTACTTCACAGTGGAGTATCATAACCCCTAGGCCAAATGCCCATGGAACTTTCTGAAGTACCTTTGGGTACTAACCTTCAGTATAGAAAAACTGAATTATTTAGAATGATGTATTGAATTAGAATACTTTTTCTCTGAGGGACAGAATTACAGAAGATGTAAACATAAGGAGCATTAA